CTCCTTGGAAGCAAGGATGGCAAGACTACGTCTCACATTGTCTTAGTCATCTAGTGCTGCTACAACAGAAATACCACAAGTGGATGACTTTAACAAAGAGAAATTCATTTCTTCACAGTAAAGTAGGGTAAAAGTCCAAATTCAGGGCGTCAGCGCCAGGGAAAGTCTCTCTCTCTCTCAGCCTTCTCATCAATGTTTCTCCGCGCAGGGACCCCGGGTCCAAAGGACACACTCCTGGCACTGCTTTCTTGGTGATATGAGGTCCCCCTGTCTCTCTGCTCACTTCTGTCTTTTATGTCTCAAGAGATTGCCTGAGGACACAATCCAATCTTGTGGATTGAGTCTTGCCTTCCTAACACAATTGCCAACCATCCTCCCTCATAAACATCACAGAGGCAGGATTTACAACATAGAGGAAAATGACACAATATCAGGAATCATGGCCCAGCCAAACTGATAAACACATTTTTTGGGGGACATAATTCAATCCATGACACACATACTTTGGACATGTTGTCAAGAGGTATGAATCCCTAGAGAAGGACATTATGCTTGGTAAAGTAGAGGGTCAGCAAAAAAGAGGAAGACCCTCAACGAGATGGATTGGCACAGTGGCTGCTACAGTGGGCTTAAGCATAGCAACGATTGTGAGGATGGTGCAGGACCCGGCAGTGTTTCGTTCTGTTGTACATAGAGTCCCTATCAGTCGGAATCAACTCGATGGCACCTAACAACTACAGCAATGACAGGAAAGGGAGTCCTGGTGATGCAGTGCTTAAGCACTCGGCTGCTAACTGAAAGGTCAGTGGTTTGAAACCCACCAGCCGCTTAGTGGTAGAAAGATGTGCCATTCTGCTTCCGTAAAGATTACAACCTTGGAAACTATAAAGAATTTCTACTGTGTCCTATAGGGTTGCTATGAGTCGGAATCGTCTCGACGGCATACAACAACAATCACAAGAAATAATATGTGAGGAAAATTAAAACTAAGGATTTCAATGAATGGTTAAAGTTACCATGTTCCTGAATGGGAAGATTGAATATTATAAAAATGTAAATTCTTCCCAAATAAATTTATCGATTTAATTTAATGGCATATTAAATCCCAACACTTGGGTTTTTTAACTTGGCAAACTATTTATAAATTTAGTCTCCAAAGATAAAAAGTCAAGAAATACCTAGAACATGTTTAACGGAAAAAATAGGGAGGACTTGCCCTGAGAAATATTAAAATGTTCCATCAACCTATGGGAAACAATGTTGTATTGGTACAAGAATTAACAGATCAAGAAACAGAATGCACCTAGAAAAAAGAGAACATATTTACGTATTTATAAAAACATAGGATATGATTAAGTTAGTAAGTCATAAATTGGTAAGGTAAAGGAAGCACTGATTATTCAAAAAATGGCTCTGGAACCATTGAGTGTCATTTGGAAAGTTTAACTTAGAGCTTCATGGTACATCAGAATAAATTTCAGATAAAATTGGATTCCCGAACCGTAGGAAAATTAATTATTAAGGTAGAATCCCAAGAAACCAAGAAATAGTAAAGATTAACTCTCTTACCATATATATTTCCATGATATTATGTATCATGGCTTTATTCATAACATTATTTACACTTTATCATAAATACTTAGTTGTTTCTCTGCCTAGAAGTAAGCTCCTTGAGATCAGGGAGCTCTCACCATTGTTTCTATAGCACCTAGCACATGGCAGACACTAAGGAAGTCTTTGATGAAAAAAGTGAATGAGTAAACAAACAAACCCCTAGTAGGAAAATGGACAAAGCATATGAATAGACAGTTTACCAAAGAAGAAAGAAATGACCAATAAACCATGAAATTATGTTCAAACTGCCTGTTATTTAGAGAAAGACAAAAAAAGTAATAAAATACCATTTTTCAACTATCAAATTGATTAAAAATTTAAAAATAATAATGTCAGGAAGCATGCAGTTAGACTAACACTCATACTTATGAGTGTGTAAATTAGTCCAGCCTTTTTGGAAAACAATTTAGTAGTCTGTATTGATTAAAATCTGTGTACCTTCTAACACCCTAATTGTGATCTCTAGGTGTCATTTCTCATTAAGTAGAACCATGGTTCCTTGTAGAAATGGCTGATTCCAGACATGGGAAATTTGTGATAGAAAGCAAAGAAACTGTCAAAGACTACTAGTTACGTTAAAAGGATACAGGGGCGAACTTGAAGGAACTACTCGATGGCCAGTGCTCTCAGACTAACTGGTGAGAACAGATGTTCTGTTTCAAACTTCCAGTTCATTAGGGTGATAACTCCTATAAAATGAAATGAAATGCTATAACATTGTTAACATTGCTATAAAGTTTCTAAACACTCAATTTTTGTACTTATCACAGACCATTAGGGACTGGTACCATCACACCTTGAGTAGCACTGGCCTAGGCAAAGATCATGAATGAATGCTAAAACCATTAGGTGAAAGTTTCATGAGGAACTTTGAAATGGGTGTATTTAATGGAAAACCCACTGATTAACCAGCATCACAAAAAGTGGAACAACCGGACATGTATTTCCTGACATGATGCAATAGGAAATCCATACCACTACCTATGAGTTCTTGCCCCCTCCCACAAAAAAAAAAAATCAACCTAAATCTAATAAAACTTCTAGAACTGACTACCAATTTACAGGAAATACAATGGATAGAGAATGAGTTAAGGAACGCACCGACCAAATTCCAGAATGTGAGAAATGCTATAGGGCAAATGACTCAGTTTACTAAACCTGAACATATAAATGGCATAAAATAAAAAGGGAGGGGTCATTGCTATAAGATTTAAAATAAGAACCTACTGTGTTTCGGTCAGTTCCAAGTCATGGAAACTCCATGAGATTAAAGAGACATAAAAGACTTGAATCAAATGCAATCTGTGGGACTTGTTTGGATTCTAATTCAAACAAATTTTAAGGCAATCAGGTAAATGTGAAGATGGGCCATTGAGATTATGTTTTTTAAAAGTCTTATGTCTTAGGGATATATACTACATTATTTCAGTTAAAAAGATGAGATATCTGGGATTTGCTTTAAAATACTTCAGGAAAAAGACTGGGTGTGTGTTTCAGGGCAAGTAGGAGGTGGGGAGAGTAGATTAAAATAGGCAAAGTGTTGGTAATTATTGGAGATTGGTAGCAAGTACATGGGGATGCAGTACGTTAGTCTCCTTTTATGAAAAAAATACACTTTATTTGTATGTTTGAAAGTTTTCTTAAGTTTTTTGCATTTTTTTAAAACGTGCATTCCTGTTGACCTAGTAATTCTTCTTAAAAGAATATATCCTAAGTTAATAATCAAGTTTTTGGTCAAGGATTTATAAATGAGTATGTTCATCATAAGGAGTCCTGGTGACGCAGTGGTTAAAGCACTTGGCTGCGAACCGAAACGTCAGCAGTTCGAACCCACCAGCTGCTCCATAGGAGAAAGATGTGGCAGTCTGCTTCCATAAATATTTACATCTTCGGAAACCCTATGGGGCAGTTCTACTCTGTCCTGTAGGGTCACTATGAGTCGGAATTGACTCAATGGCAATGGGTATGTTCATCATAGTATTAACATTGAGATAGAGAAAAATTGGAAAACAGACATTTCTCACATTAAAATATTTATAAATAAATTATAGTACACCCTGTCACCTATTAGATTGTCAGAATTCCAAAAACATCAAGACCCACTTGACTGATGAGGGTCTGGAAAAGCAGGTGCTCTCATAAATTGCTGGAGGGGCTCAGTAGGTACAGACCCCATGGAGGGCAGTTTGGCAATATTAACAAAAGTATTTATCATGTGACTTACCACTGCCATTTCTGGGAATGTATTCTGTAGCAATGTCTTTTCATGTTTGAAATGGTTGTATACACGGTTATTTATGACACCATGATTTGTCATAGTAAAAGACTGGAAACAGAAGAGGATTAATTAAATTGTGGAACACCTGTGCAGAGAATTAGAATACATCTGGAAAAAGGATGAGGAAGCTCCGTATCTACGTGCACAGTTTAGTAGCCACTAAGCCATATGTGGCTATTTAAATTAATGAATTAAAATTCAAAATTTAAATTGCATTCCTTGGTTGCACTAGCCACATTTAAAAGTACTCAATAGCCACATATGTCTAGTGGCTACCATATTGGACAGCACAGATACAGACCATTTCCATCAATACAGAAAGTTCCGTTAGACAATGCTGCTTTATATAGTGAGTATAAAAATATCTCTAAAATACCTAACTTACTTTTATAATAAGTAACAGACACCTAATGATAGCAAATATTACCTAAAACAAAACTTAGGTTCTTTGTGGAAGTTTAAACCCGTTCTCTATTGTCTTTTTGCCATTATTTTCAAACGTGTCATGTTGCCAAGTGGATTACATATTATGGAAAAAAATAATTTGAAGGCAGATAAGCGGCATGAAGGGTTCTTAATGAATTGATTATTTTTGGCTAGCCTTTACTGTTTTTTTTCAGACAAAACGCTTGAACCAAGCATGCCTGACAACATAACCTTCCTTAGCTCTTTATTGAGTGTGTATTCTAAATGAGCTCTAAATTTGCTAGGTGCCAAGCCCTGGTGGTGCAGTGGTTAAGAGCTTGGCTGCTAACCAAAAGGCTGACAGTTTGAATCCACCAGCTGCTCTTTGGAAACTGTATGGGGCAGTTCTACTCTGTCTTACAGGGTCGCTATGAGTAGGAATTGACAGCAGTAGGTTTGTTTTTTTGCTAAAGCACCTATCAAAAAGTTACAGCTATAACTACAGCTTTCTGAAGTATTTATTCTGCAATTAGGTATATCATTTTTATGGCTGCAGAATATAGTAAAGTGTTTCAGAGTCTGGCCTACTTTTTAGTGTTGTCTAAAAAGAAGATAATAGGAACTGAGTACCATCTTAGCGTCCAGTGTTTTTTAAAAATGTTTTTTAAAAATTTGAATACTAATAAATAATTAATTCTTACAGATCCACAGAAAATAAGGAAATTCTTCCTTTGGAAAATGAAGTTGCAGACTTAAGAGAAAAAGAGTCACCTTTGAGTTTATCTTACCAAAATCATGACTGCTCTGGTGCCTGTCTGATAAAAATGCCACTGACGTTCAAGGGAGAAAACCCTCTGCAGCTACCAATGAAATACCACTTCCAAAGACAGCATGCGAAGACAAACTCCCATTCTTCAGCACTCCATGTGAGTTATAAAACCCCTTGTGGAAGGAGTCTACGAAACGTGGAGGAAGTTTTTCGTTACCTGCTTGAGACAGAGTGTAACTTTTTATTTACAGATAACTTTTCTTTCAATACTTATGTTCAGTTGACTCGGAATTACCCAAAGCAAGAAGAGATTGTTTCTGATGTGGATATTAGCAGTGGAGTGGAATCGGTGCCCATTTCTTTCTGTAATGAAATTGACAATAGAAAGCTTCCACATTTTAAGTACAGAAAGACTATGTGGCCACGAGCATATTATCTAAACAACTTTTCCAACGTGTTTACTGATTCATGTGACTGTTCTGAGGGCTGCATAGACATGTGAGTAGAAGAACATGGCATTTCAGTGAATCTTCTGAATATAGGGATACTTGTCAAGTAATCCTGCTATGTATCAGTTTCTCTGTCTGTATATCTAAAACCTATTCACCAAGAGTCTAAAATGAAAAGACGCACTGTTTTAATAACAATAGGAAAGAAGACTCTTCACCAAATATAGTAGTTTGAAAATTATTTCTTCTAGGAATAAGTTGTTCCTTTAATCTAGTACCATCTTTATGACAGTAACAGTTACAACAAATGCTATTATTGAGCATGTACAACTGCCAGGCAGTATAGTAAGTGCTTTACATACATTTTCTTAATTATTATCTTCACAGAGACCCATGAGGTGAGTATTATCTTCATGTTACAAATGAAGAAATTAGACTAGAGAAGTCAATTGTCCCATCATAGCACCAACAAATTTTAGAGCTAGAATTTGAACCCATGCTGTTAACCACTACGTTATTTGTTGTATTTACATTTACAAATAATTTAAAAATTATTTCATGGCTTATTTTTTAGAAAGTTAATAGTGTTTATAACTGGTACCCTCTTAATCATAGCACTGAAATTCTTTTAAAAAACAAAAACATGTTATATTAAGACTTTGAAAACCATTTTGCTTCAAGAATGTGTAATATACATACATTTGTAGGTATGCATGTATGGAGTGGAGTTGCATTATTTGTACTTTTTGTTTAATGCAAACTCAACTACCTGTATAGGCAAAAGAAGAAGAATGAGAAAGAGAAATGATTCCAATGGCGTAGATAACAGTTGGCACCATCCTCTCAGTTAGATGGCTTGTGAGATAGCAGATGTGAAGCTGCTGTTGCCTCAGTCTGCTCAGATCACTTAGACCTCTCACAGAGGAAACCTCTCACTGTGCTAGGTTTATTCTGTTTAGAATTAAATATCTTTCTGTAAACATTGCCTCTGATGTTATCCAACTTCTTCATTTTGCCAAGCCCAATCTGTAGTGCTGGAGGGAAAAAGTGGCTGTTGGACAATTTATACTGTGCTTTATGGTCAGTTGAAGGAATTTTTTTAAAGGGTTATTTGGCCTATAATTGGTTTTTGTCTTTAGACTATAGAAAGTAACCCTCACATAACATACACCACCACTATAGGGTTGCTATGAGTCGAAATCAGTTGAAGGCAATGGGTTATACATATTTTCATCCATGCGTCAGAAACAACGAGGGAAATCACAAACGTTAGCAAAGGCCGAAGCCCACTGGTATCTGGCAGTGGACATGAGCAGTGTAGCCAGGGATTCTGATACCTACAGGAATGGAAATTAAACATGTCCCACACATGGCAGAGTGTGGGAGCTGGGCTCTCCAGGGGTATAGAAACGAGACACCTGTGCAAGACTGGGAACTAGGCTGGTATTTCACAGGGCTTGGAACTGTGCTAATGTAAAGCTGGTTCAGAGCTGTGAAACCCTTAGGGTCAGAGCCAGAACAATGAAACCACCCAACACAGAGGAGTAAACCCCACCAAAGTTAAGATTTCAAACAAACATTAAAATCACACAAAGATGTTTAGGGCTATGAAAGGCCTGTGAGCCACAACAAATAGGGAATTCACACCTGAGGGGTCAGTTAATGCAGATTCTGACTGAAAGGAACTTTAAAATAGGTTTGTTTAAAATGTCCAAAGAGATAAAATACTAGACTATGAAACAAGAGAAGGGGATTAAAAAGGAGAAATGGTATATATAAAAAAAGAACCATTTGAAAATATTAGAAATAAAACATATGGTCATTGAAATAAAAAACTAATAGATCAACTAAGTAGTAGTCTTGGTATAGCTGAAGAAAGAATCAGTGAATTGCTAGGCACAACTTGTGAGATCTCCGATAATGCAAAGGGGAAAGTTATGAGGAAATAAGTTATAGGTTAAGAAATATGGAGGAGAAAATGAGAAACTCCAATTTACATCTAAGAAAAGAGAGATCAGGGGAAAGATGTAACATTCAAGGAGATAATGGCAGAGAATGTTCCAGAATTGAAGGACATGAGTGCTTAGATTGAAAAAGCTTGCTGTGTACTAAGAACGGAAACTAACATAAATGTACATTTAAGTATATTATGATGCAACCTAAAAAATAGCTAAGATAAAGAGTAAACTTCGAAAGCTGCTAGATAGAGAAGACAGATTTCCTGCAAAGGAAAAACAGTCAGACTGACAACATACTTTTTATCATGAATACTAGAAGACAATAAAGAGGCATATTATCCTAAGGTGCAGAAGGAAAATAAATGTAAAAGTCAAATTTTGAACCCAACCAGACAATCATTTAAGAGAAGTGACTTTCTTTTTTTGGGTGAAGGGGTGGCAAACCATTACACAGCAGTTGAAGACACCATACCTACTTTTCAGCAACAGTATTTTTAGGTATATCTAGAGCAGAAGATTGTTTTCAAAACTACACGGTTAGTGGGATGTAAAATCAGTTTAATGGGTTGTAACTAGCATTTTTTAAATTAAGAAAATAACCCAGATGCAGAACACATGATAAGAATAAAGTTTCATGATATTGTTGTTTGAGTTTATATGCATATACATGTATGTATGCATGTACAAGATCATGAAGGAAATATATTTCTTACTGTGGGCCATAGTCAGAAATGTTTGAAAGCTGTTATTCTAGAGATGCTCACACATGTGCATAGAAGAAGGATGTTTGTTGCAGCACTGTTGTATTAAACTGAAAGAGACTTAACCAAGTAATAGCTAAATGCTGTAGGAGAGTTAAAAGGAATTAACCAGATTTGTATGTATTGATTTGTATGTATTAATAGATCTCAAAAACATTAAATTGAACAAAAAAAGCAAGTCATAGAATAATACTTATAGTAAAATTTTTAAAACATGAAAAATAATAACAGTATATTGTTTGTGGATATATATGTATGTAAAAGTATAAAGAATGCCACACCAGACCTCTTGAGAGTTTAGTTTTATCTGTAATGTTTTCTTAGATCCTATATATGATGTGGAGCCCTGGCGGTGCAGTGGTTAAGAGCTTAGGCTGCTAACCAAAAGGTCAGCAGTTTGAATCCACCAACCACTCTTTGGAAACCCTGTGGGGCAGTCCTACTCTGTTCTGTAAGGTTGCTATGAGTTGGAATTGACTCAATGGCAATGGATTTGTTTTTTGTTTTTTTTTAATATATACGATGTATAAGTTTTAAATTCTATACATAGGAAAAAGAAGGGCTAGATAAAATGCTGATAGCTAATTCTGGGTGGGGGAAAAATGGGTATCATATATTATTTGTATTTTCCTGTACTTTTTAAACTTTGCAAACAAAATCAAATGGAACTATGTATGCAGATTTTTATATCTGTAAACAGTCCAAATTAATGAGTTTATTGATTTTTTTCCCTTGCAAACAGTAGCCACCACTGTATGACATGTACTATGTATATATGGAAAAAATACAAAAGAAAATCATACAGGAAAAGGATTTAAAGTCCCTTGTTCAACAAAGGAGACTAAGATCCAGAGATGCTAACTAGCTTACCAGTACATAGTCACATACCGAGTTTAGAGCTGAGACGCCCAGACCCCTTACTCCCTATCAAGTTATGAATCTTTGTCAAGATAGATAATCATCTAAATATGTAGAGGTAAAAACACATAGATTAAATTTATGGTTGCATGTTGTCCCACCTAGCAACAATATGAAAAGTGGTTGTGGTAGGCAGATTCCCAGCATCAGTTTCCCCAATCTGTTTCTGTGTCATTGAAGTCAGAGATAAGACATTTCCAAAACTACCCTTGCAAGTTTGATGCTCATGCATTTATCCACTACAGGCAAGCTGAACTAGGAGAATTTTCACAAAGAAGCTTCTGTTGAATGCAAAAGGAGAACTCATTTTGAAAAGTTAACTATTTACTTCATGAGCAAATAGAGTACATTTCAGTTTATACTTAGAAACTTAGTAGGTATATGTCTTTCAAAGAGGTATATTCCATGAGCCAAATGGCTGTCGTTTACCACCCCATTTACTCTTTCGGGACACTCTCTGTGCCTAACTTGGTGCTGTTTTATTCTGACATGTCCATCCATTGCCTTCCTTTTAGAACAAAATGTGCATGTCTTCAACTGACAGCAAGGAATGCTAAGACTTGTCCCTTGTCAAGTAATGCCATAACCACTGGATATAAATATAAAAGACTGCAGAGACAAATACCTACTGGGTAAGATACCTTGAGGATTTGTTGCAGGGTGTTTGTGTCTGTGAAGGTGGGTACTTTTTCATTGTGGCCTACAGTCTTAGAGATGTTGTTAAATCGCATTTTCTAATACCAAAAATCTAAATTATTAAGGAATTAAAAAAAGAAAGCTGTATGTTATTCTTGGAAATGGAAGTTGAGACCACACAAAGCATACAGAGTGTACTCGAATACCCACCTGCTTTGAGTCTGAGTCTCACCCTTCTAAGATTAGCCTGCCTCGGGCAGCCATTTCCCTGTTGAGAAATATACTCTGCAAAGCCCATCAAGAGCTGGGAATTTTCAGCCTTTCAGGGTTGTTATTAACAAATAATAACACCTTTAGAAACAAAAATAGAAACTTTTCTTTCCTAGATATTATCCTTTTAAAAGAGTGAACATTCACTATGTGCCAGGCATTGTCTCAAGCACGCGGTAAATACTGACTTAGAGAACAGCCCTGTGAAGTACATGCTGCCGTAGAATCCCCATTTTAAACATAGAAAATTGAAGGACAGAAAGGTTAAGTAGCTCTTCCAAGGTCACACAACTATAAATGCTGGAGCTGTGGTGGGCACCCAGGCAGTCTGACTCTAGGAACCTTCACATTAGTTGGCCTCCCCTAGTGACTGTCAGTGCCATTGAAGTAGTATAAATGGTTTTTTCTTTAATTGGGGGTATTTGGTTGATTTTCTCTTTTGCATATTTGATTGACAGCATTTATGAATGCAGCCTGTTGTGCAAGTGTAATCGACAGATATGTCAGAACCGGGTTGTCCAGCATGGTCCGAAAGTGAGGCTGCAGGTGTTCAAAACTGAGAAGAAGGGGTGGGGGGTACGCTGCCTGGATGACATTGACAGAGGGACATTTATTTGCATTTATTCAGGTAAGGCAAAGATTCATTTTCAAGTTATTCTGTAGTAGGATCTTCATTTCTGAAGCCCCATTTTACTAGTCAGGGCCATTGAGATCTTATTGCAAGGACAAGAACAACAAGATTAGGACATCAGAGGAAGGCAAGTGACTGGGAACTTGAGCACTGAAGGGATGAGATGCCTTAGGAGGTACCAGAAGGTCCAGAAAAGAAAGGCGTAGAGATAAAGCCTGGGTTGTTTCATGAGGGCCTGTTACATGCGTGGCGCATCTCTTGTCTCTTGGCTGCAGATGCTTTGGGTAAAGGAAAACTTTGTAAATAGCTGACTTGCCAAGGTAAAAATCACCAGTCATCAGACTATCTTGTTGAATGTTTTAAGCTATTATTAGAATTTAACAAGTTAATTTTGTTATAAATATCTGCATATGATAATTCAGGTAGTGACAGGAGGCAGCTCACTCCATTTCAGGGACCCCGGAGAGCCTGTTGCTCTAAGAGCAGAGCTTCCCAACCATTGTGTTTAGTTGTGTGGGTGCTGGTTCTTTCAGGCCAGAGCCCCCAGGTCAGACATGTTGGTCTCCAGCAGCCTCATTCATTTACCCCAGAGTGCCGTGCAAAAATCCTGATTTTTAGTGTGTGCCAGGATGTAAGACAGAATGGGAAACACGTCTCTAGAGCTAGTCTAACAGAAATACGCTAGATTGAGTCAGGACAGTGAGGCAGCAGGGACCAGAGCAGTCCTCTTCTGAAATTCTGGGTTTTTTTCAGTGAGGGCAAGCAGCAGCTCAGAGAGTTACCAGAATTCAGAGTAGTAGTAACACTTGGCTTCCTGCCACATGACACTTGTTCCTGTTAGGTGCCATCAAGTTGATTCAACTCATACTAACTCTATGTGACAGAGTAGAATTGCCCCATAGAGTTTTCTTGGCTGTAAGCCTTTCTCCTGCAGAGTGGCTAAGTGAATTTGAACCGCCAACCTTTTGGTTAGCAGCCGAGTGCTTAACCATTTGTGCCATAAGGGCTCCTTCCATAACACAGTCACATATACTACACAGCCTTCCTAGACTTTGTCTCTCGTATTTCTCAAAATAACTTTGATGAAAGTCAGCTGCCTATGAAATGTCAAAAGCTGTCCAGTAAGTTATAACTGGCTTTATCTGCATTGCTAAAAAATAAACCTAACATAGCTCACTGATCTAATGACATGGGAGAATATCCAGCTGCTAATTTTTACTTGGTAACTATAATTTTGAGTCCCTTGAAAGAGCCCTCGTGGCACAGTGCTTAAAGCGCTTGGCTGCTAACTAAAAGGTTGATGGTTCGAATCCACCAGCAGCTCCTCCGGAGAAAGATGTAGCAGTTTACTTCTGTAAAGATTACTGCCTTGGAAACCCTATAGGGCAGTTCTGCTCTGTCCTATAGGGTTGCTGTAAATCGGAAATCGACTCCAATTGAAAACCAGTGAAATTTGGGTTTTGGTTTTAAAAGAAAATGCATAAACTTTAGACAGAGATTTTAACATTACTTAGGACTTACTATGACAGCAATAAGCATATATCACCACAAATTTAAATAGATTTCTTTATAAAAAAAGTGTAGGTTTCAATGATAAAGCATTTTTTCCCTAATTATCATTTTTTAATTGTACTTCAGATGAAGGTTTACAGAGCAAATTAGTTTCTCATTAAACAATTAATACACATATTGTGACATCAGTTGCCACCCCCACGACATGTCAGTACTCTCCCCTTCTTGACCTTGGGCTCCCCATTACCAGCTTACCTGTCCCTTCCTGCCTTCTCATCCTTGCCCCTGGGCTGTTGTGCCCATTTAGTCTCATTTTGTTTTATGGACCTGTCTAATCTTTGGCTGAAGGGTGAACCTCATGAATGATAAAGCGTTTTTAACTAGACACAAAAGGTGCATTTTAAAGACTATAGAGTTCAGCCCTCTAATTATCTAGAATGCTTTCTGATCCATATTTTTGTTTTATAATACTATAGATAAATCTCTTTCATGTAATACCAAAGCAGACAAGTGCTTCTATTAGGTGTCCTATATTTTTTCATGCACTGGAAAACATGAAATAAATCCCTCTTTGGTCATTTGTTTATTATTTCTTGCAACAGTTATTCTAGGATGAATTACTGTGTTTATAGTCATTCTGGAAATAAGGTATACAGTACAGCGTTCTGTAGTGATAGAGCAGAAATAGAGATGTCTGTTAGCTGCTTAACAATTATATTATTTTTGTTTCAAAATCTTTTTTCTTTTAGGAAGATTACTAAGCAGAGCTAACACTGAGAGACCTGATGCTATTGATGAAAATGGGAAAGAAGAGGATTCTATGAAAAATACGCTTTCAAAAAAGAGGAAAATGGATGTAGCGTGTTCAGATTGTGAGGTTGAAGTTATCCCGTTAGAACTGGAAACACATCCTAGAAGGGCTGAAACTGAGGAATGTCCATCGAAGTTGAGTAATGAATCCAAAGAGCCCACTGCGTACGTTAAGAACTCAGTCAAGATCACTCTAAATTACCGTTGATCAAGAGTGATTCTTTCCTCTTTCTTTCTTTCTTATTCTCCCTGCCCCACTCCTATATATCATCTTGCTTCAAAGTTGTAAGTTTAACACTGAGATATCTAAGACACGTAGATTTAAAAATCTAGCCATCATACTTTATTTCCTCAGTGTTCCCTTCCTGGAGTTTTACCTTACATGACTTTAATCAGGTTCTCTATGGATGTTTGTAATTTTTGCCATTCTTTATATTTTCTATCACCATTTCGTTTACAAAGCTTTCATAGGTGTCCTTCGTATTTTTATATACTTCAGTGATTGCGGGATAGGTATAAATGATGTTTACTTAATTTCTAATGATAATAGATATTTATGTAACAATGTTATCTATATTTCAAGGTCCAATAAAAAGAATTTATGGTGATATACAGAATAACACTGTTTTTTCCTTTCCAGGGAAATGGAGTGTAACAATATTTCAAGAATTCAATATCATTCAGTCATTAGAAGTCCTAAAACCAAGACAGCCATTTTTCAACACAATGGAAAAAAGCTGGTAAAAACTGCAAAAAGTAGATTGGGCCCTCTGAGAATATTAACTACTACCTCACCTTTCCTACCTAGTTCAAATTGTTTGTGCTACTTAATAATGCATGGTATTGCTTTTATTGTTGTGGAATGGGTAGGCTGCTGAAGTATTGGGACTGTATTTTATTTGTTAATTATCCCCCATGGAAGTTGGCACGTTGTCAGCTTAGATACATGAGGAGCGTGTTGGTCACGATTTGGTAGTGTACTCCACTGAGACTGAGAGCCATCTGGTTCAGAGAACTTGTATAAGTTCAAGAGTTAATGGTGATATAAAGAAAAGGGATGGAGATACTGGAGAAAGAAGAGATGCAACCTAACAAAAGAACCATCCAGAAAGTGACATTTTATACGGTGCACTTACCATTCTGAACCAAGAATGCTAGTCACAGACTGAAACTTAGAAGAAGAGAAGGATATAGGAAAAAAAACAGAGGCAGAAATAATTGTGGTTCACAACAGGGCTTGTTGATGAAACATAAAAACTGTGTTCTAGGTGTTGTGCAAATATCTGCCGTCTGTCTAGTACCAGTTCAGTAGGTGCCTGCTCAGTATCAAATAATGACGAAAAGATTGAGCCATAGGGTCACATAGACCTAGGTTTGACCTCCAGTTCTTACCAGTTGGGTGACATGTCTATGTCTATTTTTCTTTAACTATAAAATGAGAATAATAGTTTCTATCTCGGGCTTATGAGAATTAAAGAAATAAAGTTTGCTTAGCACAATGCTTGGCACAACTAAGTGCTCAGTAGATGTTGACCGTTCAAGTACTGAGCACTTGAATAATAATAATGGTCAACATTTATTCAGCAGTTAGTTGGGTGCCAAGCATTGTGTTAAGCACATACCCTTCTTTTAAAGTTATCATGACCATTTAAAGTGATTGCAATGCCTGCAACATATAAAGACAGGCAGCTTCTTTAACCTTTTCTTTCAAATAGAAACTAGCCAAAGAGTGTTTTTATCTTTGTACATCTTATAGTTGAAGCCAAATTTATAATCTGGTATCAGTACTTTCTCAGTAAGCCCACCCATTGCCATAGAGTCAATTCCAATTCATAGTGACCCTGTAGGACAGAGTAGAACTGCCCCATAGGGTTTCCAAGGCTGTAATCTTTATGGAAGCAGACTACCACATCTTTCTCCCACAGAGTGGCTGGTGAGTTCAAACCACCAACCTTTCAGTCAGCAGCCAAGTGCTTTAACCTCTGTGCCACCAGGGCTCCTTACTTTCTTTGTACTGAGTATAATTAGAATTGAGGAATATAGGCATATTTTAATTCCCAGGCAATGTCTTCAGTCTTTATAACTGCGACTTGATAACGTGCCTAGCAATAGAACACAGCCAACAGGCACTGAAATACATTTGCTCCATTAGTGCAAAGACTCTGGATGACATCAGCTTTGAGGCTTTTCAAAATAATTTAGTAACTACAGCCTGTGAAGATTGAAACTTGATGAAAGAGTCCTAAATGCTAAATATTTTTTCCTAACATAGAAGTTAAGGATATCTTTGTTTTCTTTTAAGGGATTTGCTTCCCCAGAGTCTGTCACCTCAGAAGATGATAATGGGTGTGAATCAGCCCTCGTACATCTGAACTCTGAAGCCAATGAAGCGAAAAGTAGGCTTTGCTTCCCCCTGTGGTTGCCTGCCTCTTTATTCTGCCCTTTTGTCCTTCCATCGCTCAATACTTGTGGCTCATTTTCTCAGACTCCATAACAGACATGCTGCATTCCTCATGGAAGCTACAACTTGTCTAGATCACAAGTTGGCAAACTACAAGTTTGCAGGCCATATCCAACCCGCCACCTGTTTTCCGTATGGCCCAAGAGCTTAGAATGGTTTTACATTTTTAAATGGTTGAAGAAAATATAAAGAATAGTATTTCCTGAGACTTGAAAATTATATGTAATTATAGTAAAAGTTTATTGGAAAACAGCCACGTGGATTCATTTATGTATTGTCTGTGACTGCTTTCAGGCTACAGCAGCAGAGTTGAATAGTCACAACAGATCTCATGGCCCACAAATACTTACTTCATGGAAAAAGTTAGCCGACTTTTGGTCTAGACAACAACAATGAACTGATGCATGGTGGTATGGGGTGGGCTAGACAGATCTTGACTCTGCAGAGTCCGTAAGTATTGCTTAGAGCTTCAGAACCATTGTCCAAAGAAGCCCTTTCTAACTCTTTATGTTGGGCTGCTTTAAAAATGAAGACAGCTCACTCTCCTGCTCCTGCAGTAGTCAGCCCACGCTGCTGAGAGGATGCTCAGCATGACTCTGGCAAGGAGCTGAAATGTTGCTGCCCTTAGCGCTTGTCTTTCAGAGTTGCCAGTCCCTGCTATTATATCAATTCCATAGTTAATATACAACAGGGCAAACTTGATTTTTGATACTAATGCATTTCAGTATATTCCTGAGCAGGGAGAGAGGACATTGCTGAGAGATGTCCCTTTTTGAGGAACTGACCAGCCGTTGCTGCCTCTTCGCCCTTTTAGCCTTCTTTCATCTGTACCCCCAACTCCACTCCTGATCTTAAAGGATGGAGATTGGAGGGAAATAGGATAGTTCCTCGACAGAAAAGGTCTATCAAGAAAGCACATTTTATGTATAAACCTGTATTATAATTATTTCACCATTTAATGCATATAAGCCATAATGAGCACTTTTGCTTTTGGTTCTTTTGCCATTTTCATTGATTGCTGCAGTGTATATAGCAGGTACTTCGAGAAATCATGATTATATACTCCTATGGCTCACAAGTAACCCATGATTAAAAAAATGTCAGTATATTTAGGAACAGCAACCAGCAGCAGTAATGAGCGCCCACTTCTATTACAGCTATTTAGAATATACTTAAATGCAGATTCCAAAACTGGAGAGGAAGCCAGTTTGTAGGGAGTACAGGTTAAATAGCGTAACAAGGAAGCAACACATAGGTTCATAAAAGGCATTGCAATGTAGTAGAAAGAAGGCAGGCTTCAGAGCCACACATTTCTGGTTTGTTACTGCAGTTCTCATTATTGTGGGTCAGGTAATCCCTTAACCCCTGAGGCTCAAGGTTTTCATTTGTAAAATTGAAGTTATAGTACCTACCTTAACACGTTGTAAGGATTAGCACTAATTAAAGCAACTAGCATTTAATTAATACTGTTAATCTCAGTATTACTGCTCAATCAAATGAATTTCCTAACAATTCCTTCCAAAATTTCTTTTAGAGGACTCAATCTCAGACCAAGTTGAAAATTCTGACGACAGTCTGCTGATTGAATCAGATGTGATAGATATAACTAAATGTAAAGAAACCCCACCAGAGGGCAGGTGTAACCAAGCAACCACGTTGGATAATCAGAGGATAATAAGGGAGTTGGAGGGTCAGACACAAAATCCCCAAGAGGAAAAATCTCCAGAATCTCAAAATCAGCAGGTCTTTTGTGGTGAAGAGTTGCCAAGTGAAACCAAATATACTTCGTCCAATGATCTAAGGAAGTTCAATAAAGGGAGTGTATTTTTACTGGATGCCACAAAAGAAGGAAATGTGGGCCGCTTCCTTAACGTGAGTATATGGGTTGAGATTCATATTTAAACTTTTTTCTATGCTTCTCAGCAAAGTCATGAGGAAAATATGATTAACAGACTCTAAAGCCAGACTGTCTGGATTAGAATTCTGGCTCTGCCTCTTATTAGCTGTGTGACGTTAGGCAGGTTACTTAACCTCTCTGTGCCTCGGTTCCCCTTCAAAATATGGAAATAATAATAGTAACTGTCTTATGGGGATTAAATGAATATGTGTAAATTGCTTATAACAGTGCCTAGCATATAGTAAGCATTTACCTTAAATTTAATTAATTAAAAAACTATAAAAAATAAGAAAGGAATTATTTATCGAAGGTTTTCACAATTTGTTACTTCCCAAATAATCCCAGTGGGACACATAGAATTAGTTTCTCCTTTGAGTCTTATACAATACTAGATCTTATTCAGAAATGCCTGTAACTGTTCAAAAAATATCAGTTGAGTGTAATTGTCATACTTACTCTCTCACTAAATTTTGAATGGTTTATTAGCTTAGTGCAGAAAACAAGTATGTTTGTCAGAATACTGTTTTTTATTATCTCACTCCTTTCCTTATTCCCAAACCATAGCCGTTTTCTATTTGTGTATATGTTTGGGACATATGTAATTTTTTTTTTTTCATTTATACAGAGAAATATTTATGATTTCTCTAATTTTAAGGTTAATTTAGGATTAAGCCTCGTGCATATTCGTGATAAAAACATCATTCTTATTGTTGGTCGTATCTCCTATGTGGTGTGGAGGTGGAGTTGCCTTGTGGCGTTCCCCATACACTCCTGTTCCATCCTGCCTTTTACCATCATGCTTGGATATCAAAGAACATACAGTGGCAGGAATCCTCCAGGAAGAAACATCTCCCTCAGCCTCTGGTCCCGGTGTGTGTGTGTTCCCTCCTGTCTTGGAGAACTGAACCACCTGGGCGAGAGCCAAGCCAGGCTGTGCCCCCTGCTTTCTGGGCTCCACACCCCAAGAGTGAAAAGTGAGGACAAGAACTTGGACCCCTTTTACATACTCTTTGGAAAGCTCCACTCTAGCACACTGTCCCTGGATATGGCCTTAAATTTTTCTCTTTGATCCCATCTATCAGAGTTCCTCTTCCTCCCCGTGGTCAGCCTTCACTTTTTCCTTAAAGTGAAGGTAAAGGAAGGGAAGCGTGTGCAGCCCATAATTCTTTCAGGCGTTCCCTTTGGCTCCGGAGTGAGCTTAACACCTTTCTTTAAAATGTGAGCTTTGAATGATTGGCAGTTCACGTACCAGGTGATAATTTTACATGAATTACATGTATTGTGCTGCCATTAGGAGAGAAAATACTATTAAGTCAGAAAATCTTTAAAACCGAAGCACTTTTTCTTTGCTAGGTGAATCTGCTTATTTGGCTTGTTTTCTTTTTATCTTTCCTAGTTAGGAGGATACTTGATTAATAAGGAATAGAATCCTTTCGCTCCCTGCCCACATCCTCCAATGGCTGTTTGCTATTGCACTGTGACTACTGCTGTACACTGTAAAGAGAACACAGCAGGCAGCCATGGAGGGAGTCTGGAACAAAGGAACCTTGTGGCTTTGTTTCCCATCAGTTACGCTGAGTGGTGGCTGCACAAGGAGAAGAACATTATGGCTGCTTTCATTTCTCCCAGTCGACATGCCACCTGGGCCCCTCCCTTGTTTGTGGAGAAACTGAGTTTTGCTTTGCTTTACTTTCTTCTTTTTTTCTTTCTGCGTACATAATATTTCATTTTAATTTTTGAACCATATGAATATAAAAAGCTGTATTTTCAAAAGCCCTGGGCCCCTGTTTGTCTTACCCCTACTCTACCCTCTAAGTAATCATTTTTATTAACTTTCTTGAGTATTCTTTCAGTGTTTTTTGATGCAAATACAAGTAAATATAAATATGTGTTCTTATTTCTCCCCGTTTTTGTACATAAAAGGTAGCTTATTATATTCACTCTTCCATACCTTACTTTTGAATGTAACAATATATCCTGGAGATCTTTCCATATCAGTGCACAGAGAGTGCTCCTTATTCTTTTTGTTTGTAGCTGCATAAATTTCACTGTGTGATTATACCAAAGTTGATTTAACCAAACCTCTGTATATGGACATTTGAGTTGTTTCTAAACTTGTATTAAACACAGTACTCAATGAATAATGTTGTACATAGAGTATTTTATACATGTGCAGAAGTATCTGTACGATACATTCTCAGATGTGGGATTGATGCATCAAAGAATAAATGCATTTTAAATGCATTTATTATAATGATAAATATGGACAAATTATCTTTTATAGGTGTTTGTACCATTTTGCATTTCTCCCAGCAAGATATAAGAGTGTCAGAATAGAGCTTTTCTGAATGGATTCCAGCTTATTAAAAGAACTGGCATGAGCTATCATATTTATATATTAGAGAAAAAAAAAGTGAGATGTGTTAGAAATAGAGTAGTATTCTAATGCTTCAAAGCAAAAGACATCAAACCTTATTCTTTATCTAACCTCTGTGTTATGTTCTTTTAACAGCATAGTTGTTGCCCGAATCTCCTGGTGCAGAATGTCTTTGTAGAAACACACGACAGGAATTTTCCATTGGTGGCATTCTTCACCAACAGGTTTGAAATTGATTTTGCTTATATGATTGAATTCTGAAATTGTGACTTTAAAACTAAAGTTGTGTTTTTCTAAAATGTTCTATAAAGTATAGAACATAAAAAGGAGATGTGTTTTATAACGCTAGAATTTCTACTGTTCTAGAATATTCAATTATCCCAAACTCTTCTTGTCAAACTTTTGAGCAGCTGAAATTTCAGTTCTTCTTCCCACTCAGAGTTTAATGCCGGAAAGGGGTAAGGATGTCAGGTCTTCAGAGGATAAATAATGAAGAGTGTACATGTTTTTATCCTCCTGACTATTTTCCCACTGCAAGCGTTAACACATTGCTGGTTCCACTGTTTTCAAAACACTTCCGTTTTCGTGGGTAATGACAATTTCTTACTTAAGAAATTATATCTTGGTTTCCTAGTGCTGCGTTAACACAAATACCACAAAGTGGGTGGCTTTTTTGTAAGAGACAACTCAGAGGTGACTAGGTTTAGGACTGAGCCTACTCTGGTATGGCCTCATTCACATAACAAAAGAAACCCCCTATTTCCAAAGAGGGTCATATCTACAGGTACAAGCGTTAGGACTTCCACAGTTCTTTTTTGGGGGCGGGGGGCACAATTCAATCTATAACATTTAGGATTTTAATAAATTTGAAATAAAACTCAAGTGATTATTACTAATAAAATGGATGAGGAAGAGAGAATAGATCATGATTTTGAGAACGGTTTAGGATGTTAATGTAAAAATTGATATAATCAAGTACGATTCATTTAGTAGTTATGCAGTGTGATTTATGTTTTGTTTTTAATTTCTACCTTCTAGGTATGTGAAAGCAAGAACAGAACTAACATGGGATTATGGTTATGAAGCTGGGAGTATGCCTGAGAAAGAAATCCTCTGCCAATGTGGGGCTAATAAGTGTAGAAAAAAAATATTATAAATATGTAGCTTGTGCTTGTTCATGAAATTAGTTTGTGGAGTTGAAATTAGAGCCATGCAGAAGAATCTTCAGTTGTGGAATTAATTTAAGTTTTGGTCCATCAAGCTAATTCCTCTCAATTTACCCTCATCAGGGGCTCATGTTTTATTTCTGATTTTGTTTGTGTGAGTTAGAAATGCTTGGAACAAAATTAGGATACATTTAGGGCATCTCTTTATTCTTACTTTATTTAACTTCACACAAGTAGAATGGAAGTGTATATTTGAAATTCACTGTACAATTTGTAACTTATTTGTAAATTGTAAATACTAGGAGAAACAAATATCACAGTAGAATTCAGCTGTTTCTTATTGTTGCTTTGTGGTTATTATCTTTTAATTCATGCCCCAAAGAGCCATATTTCACTTCTTTACCTACAGAAATTTATTTATGTTTAATTCCTAGCAAATCATTTACCATCATGAGACCCACGTTGTTATCAGGTTAATTTTAGTTACGCAATTAAGTCTTCATAATAATGTCCAGTTACTTGTTCTGTTTTTTGTTTGCATCAATATATATTTAGTATCTTCATTGCTTCCTAACCTGCTTTTGGCCCTTCTTTCATCTTCTTTTACATTTAACGTTGTTTATGCATTCATCCCCAGTCTGAGTCCTTCTTCTATGATGTGCTTTTAAACCGGAGCAGTATCCTTAAATCATGGACTAGTCTTGTGTGACAGTTTTTACAAAGACCTTTATGGGGTGGCTGGTTCAAAAGTAGACCCTATCAAGGTAATTGCATTAGAGAAACAGAAGATAAAGCAATGTTGTGTATATAGTGGAGAAAGCCCTAAGTTAACGAAACCTACAATCCAAGTCTTAACTCCTAGCATTTACTGGCTGCGTAGCCTTGGACAGAATCACTTAATATTTATAAACCAAAAAAACCTGTTGCCGTCAAGTCGATTCCAGCTCGTAGATACCCTATAGGACAGAGTAGAACTGCCCCATAGGGTTCCCAAGGAGTGGCTGGTGGATTTGAACTGCCAACTTTTTGGTTAGCAGCCGATCTCTTAACCACTGTACCACCAGGGCTTCTAATGTTTATAGACCTCTAAAAATCAAGTTTAGATTTCTGTATAGAAACATGGAAAGAGTACTTTCCAACTTGTTTTATAAAGCTAGTATAACCTTGATATCAAAAAGTTGACAAGGACAGTCTAAAGCAGGAAAACCATAAGCCAATATTACTCATGAAAATAGATCCAAGAGTCCTGAAACAAATGTTAGCAAATAGAATCCAACAGTGTATAAAAAAGACCAAGTTAGGGTTATATCAGGAACACACGGTTAGTTTCACAAAAGAAAACCAACTAATGGAAACTTTAGGAGGCAAAATAAAGAGGACAGCGTAGGTTTGAGTCTTTCCAGATCCACTCATAAAAAGAGCAAATAGGATAGCAAAAGAAGATAATCCACTGACAACATTTTCCCCAAAGCTAGTGACAAGATAGCTCCAAAACTCAGAATATGAGTGGTTGGGGCCAAATCACCACCAACAGCAAGATTCACCCAAGACTATTGGGCTTGTAGCAGCTGTGTGGAGATAGCAGCGGGAAGAAAAGAAGGGATTTTCAGGGTTCTAAGACCTCTAGGACACAGTATTAACAACAAGTGCTCACCTATGAGAGGAGAGAACCCCACTCAGAATGGAATCCTCAGCAAAAAGATCTGAGAACAACAGCAAAGCTGGCAGAAGTCTCCTCAGGCACCTGTTTTGGATGAATGCAATAAAGTCCACGAAAACTTAATACTAAAGAGCCATGGGAAGATCAGACTTACTAGGACAGCTAAGCCCTCTAGGATCTCAGAAATACCCAGTAAGAACTACCTTCCAATCTAGGACAGGGACCAATCCTAAGGAGGGTGTGTGTGGTCATTTTCAGTAATAAAAGAGGAGGGAACCTGTAGACTACGAAGCTAGGAAAGCTACCTTTGCTCACCTTCCCCTTAAGGTCCTTCCTCCTTAAGTTCTGTTTCATTTAAATACAAACAAAAGATTGTGACCAAACACCCTACAAAGATATTAGAAACGAGGAAAACGGAAAATAATGTACCAATAAGATCATGAATGCTTATCGGAAAATTATGGCCACAAAGCAGATGAAAACTAACCTGTTTTTATAAAAGTAAGTCCAAAGACTTAGAAAACTACCGAAGTTGTGAAAGAGCAGCATATACTATAAATGGGCATTAAAGCGACAATCGGATACCATTACACCCCCACTCCATTGGCAGATTTTAAAATTTTGAGTGTTAAAAAGAAGGAACACGTTGGAAAACAGTTCTCAGTAAAGTTGAACTGTGCATACCCCATAATCCAGCAGTTCTACTCCTAGATGTAAACTATGGAGAAACTCTTTAAACGTTGTACCTGAAGACATGTACCATAATAATTAAAGTAATACTGGTAATTAAAAACCTGGAAAAAAAAATCCATTGGAAGCAAGGATAAATTGTGATAAACCATTTGAGAGGAGGGGGAAAATTCTATTATGAGGAAGGTTCTGGCAAACTCTGAGATGAAAGTTCTTTTCCACCAATTCTTTTCACTAATACAAACACAGAAGCAGAGGGAACAGGAACCTGGAGGAACTGGAATATTTTCTTCTAGGCAGAGACGAGCCGTAAGAAAGGAAACCTAAACACTAGTCTAACTTAGGCCAGAGTTCTACTGAGCTGCAAAGTCTTCATCAGCCCCTTGGAATCTGCTGGGCATGATTGGCACATTGTTTTTCTAAAGAAAAAGAAAGAGTTACTTTGCTACTCCTGTTCATCTAGTGGGAAAGGAGACTGGGAGCCCCTAAGAGTCAAAGCTAATTTTATTCAGTAGCAAAGATGTACATTTGGCTGCCAGGAACTTCCCCTTGGAACCGAAATGGTAATACTAATTTGAATAGGAGCAATTAAAATTAGTTCTGGCTTTTAGTCCC